CTCTGTGCTGACAGCTCAGAGCCTGGAGCCTGCTTCAGATTCTGTGTCTCCCTCTCTCTCTGCCCCTCCCCTGCTCACGCTGTCTCTCTCAGAAATAAATAAAACATTAAAAAAAAAAAATTAAGATCATGACCGGAGCCGAGGTCGGACACTTAACAGACTGAGCCACTTAGACCCCCCTCACTTGATTCTTACAATGGCTTTGTGGGGAGGTGTTACCTTTACTATGCCCATTTTCCAGATATGGAAACTAAGACTTCAGGAGTTTAAGTAACTCACCTCAGGCCACGCGACCAGTGAGTGGCTTCAGGGCTGTGCTAACCGATGCCCCATCCTGCTTCCCTCGACAGGGAGGGAGTGATTGGCCGCTTCCCCAGGCCCCGAAAGCACAAGGCTGGCCAGAGGACCCGGTGAGGGCGTGCTGCGGTAGGCGGCTCTGACATGGATGGACAGCCAGCTCCTGGTCCCCTCCGAGCCGCCTGAGTGTCCAGTCATTTACGTAGGGCTAACGGTGCAGCTGGCTCCCCCGCAGGCAAGATGGGCGGGAAAGACCAGAGAATTCTCCCTGCGGGAACACTGCTGAGCCTTTCTCCCTGTGACCGTGCCCCACAGTCTGAAGGTTCATGCCGCTCCCTCCAGCCGCGCCCGAGCTTGCCTCGATTCCTCCTGACCCAGTGTTCCCGCAGCCGCTGCATGGGCATGAAGCACGTTGTGGGGACAGGGTGGATCCGCTCAGGTGAGCCCAGTGCAGGGTGATGGAGTGCCCACTGTGGGCCACGTACCTGCGGGTCGTCTGAGAGGTGGTGAAGGCGCTGGCCTGGCCGCTGGCAGGGGAGGGGGAGCCTCTCTCCAGCAACGCCCACCCTGTGAACACACCTGCAGAAGGTTGGCTGCTTTACCTCAGTCCATTCAACCCTCATCAGGGTTCCGTGTTGCCTCACTTACCTTGAGGGAATGCTCTCCCTGTCATTTTTCCCAGGAGGGTCAGACTCATAAAGCAGTCAGTTCCTCACAGTTATTTATTTCATGGGACGCCAGTTCTTCAAATGCTAAGGGGAGTTAAGGAAAAAAAAAATGTGCTGGACAAATAAGTTTGGAGAACACTTAATAAAATAAAATGGATTCCTTTCCTGCAGGACTTCTCAGAGCCTTTATGATGCTAACATACACCTTGACTTCTGGAGGGAGGGGTTTAGAGCCTGACTACTCCCCACAAGCAGGGGGCCCCTTCTCTTCCCTTGGGACATATATGCCACACAGACTGGTTTTTTAGGAGGCACTGAATTACATGCATTTAACAATTCTTTTTTAATTTGGAGAAAAATATGATAAAAACTACTTAATCGAAATACTCAGTGATGCACATACATTTTTCCCCCCTCACACAGTTGGGATCATCCTAGAAGCTTTTCTGGGTTTTTTTCCGTGCTGTCAACAGATCCGCACCACGTGAATAGATTTCCAGCCATGGTTTAATTGAACGCGGTATCGGATTCTATGGTTTGATAGGTGAATCCCTCATTTGGGGTCTGTAAATCACTTCCGGTTTTTATTGTTATTTTAAATGCTGCTGCGGTACCATCTTTGAGGCTTAACATTTGTACAGACCTCTAATTGTTGGCTTGGGATAATTTCCTAGAAATGGAATTGCTGAGTCAGAGAATATGGATATTTCAAACTGTTCTTTCAAAAGGATGTACCAACTGGCACTCTGCTTGGCAACGTCCGGATGCCCATTTTCTTGCTCCTTTGCCAACACTGGGTATGATTTTTTTTTTTTTTTTTTTTTTTGGCCACTTTGTATTTTGCTTCTTTGCCGGTTTGTAAGGAACAGCTTTCCTGTGCACTGGCCGCTTGCGTTTGCTCTTGCTGTGTCTGACCTGCTTCTCTCCCCAACTTTCTATAGAGGGCTCATCTCTCTCTTATTGGATTAGAAAGGTGTTTGGTTTTTTTTTTTCCTAACGTTTATTTATTTTTGAGACTGAGAGAGAGAGAGAGAGAGCACGTGCGCGTGCACGTGGGGGCAGGGCAGAGAGAGAGGAAGACACAGAATCGGAAGCAGGATCCAGGCTCTGAGCTGTCAGCACAGAGCCCGATGCAGGGCTTGAACTCACGACCCTTGAGGCCATGACCTGAGACAAAGTGGGATGCTTAACAGACTGAGCCACCCAGGCGCCCCAGAAAGTTCTTAATAGGTTAAAGGCATTAACTCTGTCCTGTGCTTGTGCAAAGCATTTTTGACCCGCATAAACCCCGCCCCCCATGAGAAGATCAAATTCCTTTATGAGATAGGAAGTGATCTGCCGAAAGTCACATAGTGCTTCAGGGACAGGACCAGGATGGGGGGGGGTTACGTTCCACGTTGGGGGTTTGGTGGGACCCCTCCTCCCCTCCCAGCCCCCTTCCACTGAGCTAAATTTCGTACCCCCCCACCATCTGTTTGCACCCCCCAATCCACCCCAGGCCCGTGGAAAGGAAAGGATTTCCCTGGACACATCTCCTTATCGTATAAAGTGCCCACAGCCCCAAGGACCAGTCGCTTGTGGGTAGCTGTACCCCAAGGGGGCTTGAGCTCACCTGGGGGAGCCAAGAAGTCTCCATGGAGGTGATGTTTACGTGGAGATCTGAAGGGACATCAAATAGTGCTGCCCAATAGAAATATAATGTGAGCCACATGTACAATTTTTAAGTTTCTAGTAGGCACCTAAAAGTGAAGATATCGAGGGGCTCCTGGGTGGCTCGGTTGGGTGTCCAACTCTGGCTCAGGTCACTATCTCATGGTTCCTGAGTTCAAGCCCCGCATCTGGCTCACTGCTGTCAGCGTGGAGCCGGCTCTGCTTTGGATCTTCTGTCCCACCCCGCATGTACACAGGCTCTCTCTCTCTCTCTCAGAAATAAAACAGTAAAAAAATAGAGCGAAACTTTATATCCAAATCAGATATCAATTGCAATTACCTTTGGAAACATAGGAACAAGATAGTTTTCATTCTTTTCATTTAGTACAAACCTTCCAAATCTCCTTCGGACCGGCGGCATTTCAGGTGCTCGGTGGCGTTTGCGTGGGAGGGGTCTCTGTGTGGGACACTGCACGTCTAGGCAGTCACTACAGCACAGGAGGGGACACAGCCCTGGCGGAGCAAAGCCTATGAGAGGGAGCGAGGAGAGAAGGGCAGTGGCTGGCTTAGCCTGGCTGGGGCTGGAGGACGGAGTCAAGCGTTCGGCCTTGAGGTCTGTTTAGGGAGTGAAATCCAATGGCCTCGGCGCAGATCTCTTGGATCTAGAGAGCGGGGTCCCTAGGAGAGCCGGGGGTCTAAGGCGCTTCCAATTTCTGGCTAAAGCCAGAGTATAGGAGGAGCCATTTGCCCCAGGAGAGAAGACCTTTCCTGGGGGTGGGGTGATTAAGTTCTGTTTCTGGCCTGATGAATTTGGGGGACACCCAAATGGACACACCCCGGAGCGCCCAGGATACGCAGGCTAAGTACTTGGAAGAGACTGGGCCGGAGCTGTTGATCCGTCAGGAAGGTAACCGATGCCCAAGACGCAGCGCCGTAGGGAATATCTGATCCAGCCTCTGGCTACCACATGCCCTTCATTTCTGTTCCCCAAGGGGCTTTCTAGAAGAACTACTGAGCAAGCTTCTGGGGTCACTCTCCCAGGCGAGCTTATAAAACAAGACAAGGGATTCTCTGATGAAAGGCAGGGGAGGACCAGAGGCTGGGTTGAGATGCAGATTCCCAGGCCACGCCCCCATCTCATTCAGTACGGGCCCCGTGTGGACGGTGCCTGGGCATCTGGGTCATCAATACACTCGGGCAGGTGCCTCAGGAAGGCACCTTCCCTGAGCTACCTGCAGGTGAGCAAAATGGCTGATTCAAAAGCAATGTGTTTAATTAACCACAGAAAAGAATCTGTATAAAATACAGAGAAGTTTCTGAATTTAGTCGTGGCGATGGTGGCACAACCCAGCAAATATACTGAAACCACAGAACTGTACGCTTCAGAATAGTGGATTTTGTGTTCTGTGAATTACATCCCAATTTTTATTTTATTTATTTTATCTTTAGAGAGAGCACAAGCAGGGGAGATGGGGAAGAGGGAGAGAATCCTAAGCAGCCTCCACGCCCCGTGCAGGGCCCATTGGGGTACTTGATCAACCCTAGGTCATGACCTGAGCCGAAATATAGAGTCGGCCGCTCAACGGACTGAGCCACCCAGGCGCCCCCAGTTTTTTTTTTTTAAATACAAAGGAAAATACAGAAGAGAGCAGAACATAAAGTGACTTGCAATCCCACCTATGCTGGTAGCAACTGATAGACCACCCTGGAGGTGTAGCCTTCAGACTGCTTTTCACAGGTGTATGAAAGTAATCGGAGGATACACTGGTTTATAACCCTCAGGGAGCCGCCCTTGACCCCTCCCCCACCCAGGGACCCATCCCGTTTCTAAGGGCTCAGTCCTCACGCTCTCGTTGCCTACACTCCCTCCTTAGCGACCTTATCCTGCCACACAGCTCGTCATTCCATCTGTCCCAGGACGACGCCCAGCTTATCCGCACAGCGTCCGTGACCCTGAACTCCAGGCGCCCCCAGCACCTGTTTCCTCGGCATCTCATCCAACGTGCGTCCATATTTCACACGACCAGAGCCCGTCTCCTGCTCTGGCCACCTCCACACCTGTCCACTCCCCACTTGAGCAATGGACAGCCTGTTCTAACAGTCGCTCAGGGCCAAATCCTTGGCATTGACCTTGACTCCCTTCTCTTTGTCCCCCATCCCCACCCAGTCCGTTAGGCGATCTCGGCGTCTCTACTTGGAAAATATAACCTGAATCTTAAGTACTTGGCTCCACATCCTCGCCTGCCTCCCCGGACTGGCCACCGCCACCCCGGCTGGTGACACAGCACCCCCTGTGGGTCCTGCCTCCGCCGTGCCTGCCGGGAATCCTGCAGCGGAGAAATCTGCTGAAGTATCAACAGATCCGGAGTCTGACTCGGCTTCCACCCCTCCCTCTAAGCCCCACCTCGCCCATCACCCCATCCTTGCCTCTTCCTCCTACGCTGTCCACCCGCAGGCCCCCAGCACCTTCCCTCACACAGGTGTGCTGAGTGACCACTGCAAGGTCAGGTGCCTCGCAGGGGATACAACTACAGATGAAACCAGAACGCTGCCCCCGGGGGCCTCAGGCTACAGGGGAGGGAGCACGTGCTTAAGAGATACAACCACTAACACAGTCTGTGATGGTTGTAAAAGGATAAAGCTGATTAGGGGACAGGAAAGGTCCCAGCATGTGACAGACACTGTAGATTGGGTGGCCAGGGACGGCCCTGTGGACTCTCTTCTCTTGCCTCTGTCCACCCAGATGGAGTCCTGGCTCCTGGCCTGAGCCTCGGCTCCCCCCTGGAGTACCCAGGAGCACCCACCTCGGCTCCCTCCACAGGGAGGCCGCCCCTCTGCACCGAGGCTGGAGAAGATCTGACCCTGTCACCCCTCTGTGTAAAGCCCAGAGGCCCAGCTCTTTGGGGCCAGGCCAGGCCTGACCCCACCGGCTCTGGTCCTTCTATCGGGCATCAGATGTACCCCACCTGCGCCTGCGGCCCTGTGCTCTGCGAGGAACGCTCCCTGGGGTTCAGGCCTCCCCCCTCCTCCAGGTTTTCTGGGCCTGGAACGCGGTCCCAACAACCCCCGCTTCTCCCTCCCCTGGCCTTGGAGGTCACCTTCCCCCAGGCCGCGGTAGGTATCCCCCATCATCCATGTGACATCCTGCAGTGCCCCCCCGCCCCCACCCTGTGAGGGCCGGGGCCGCGCCCGTCCCATTCAACGGCGTGTCCCCAGCGCCCGACAAATCCGCGTCGAATGAATGAGTTTCGCGGCGCAGAGACTTGGCCTCATTCACGTCAGATCTTCCGGGCCCTCCCCCCGCCCCCCCCGCCCCGCCCTGCCGCGCCGCGGGGGGCCGGAGCGCGGGGCGCCGCGGCAAGGGCGGGGGTGACCGCCCCCTCCCGCCGCGGGCCCGGCGAGGCCAGGGGGCGCCCCGGCCGCCGGCCCGGCTCCGCGCCCGCGGGGCCGCCGTGCCGCGGGCGCAGGCCCGGCCGGGCGGGTGCGGGGCGGGAGGTGGCGCCGGGCGCTGAGTGGCGGCTCCGGGTCCACCCCTGGCGCGCCGGTGCGAGCGGGAGGCGGGAGGCGGGGAGCGCAGGGGCGGCGGCGAGAGGGAGCGCAGCAGCGAGCATGTGCCGCGGAGCCCAGTAACCAGGGACGACCGCGGCCACCCCGCGGCCGCGTCGGCGCCCAGCCCAGCGCAGCTCCGCGCCGCGGCGCCCGGAGAGGGCGGCGGCCGGACGGCCCGGGCCTGCGAGCGGCCGCCCCGCGCTCCCCCCCCACCCCTGCCGGCCCCGCGCCGCGCCCAGGGGGCCGAGGCGCCGCCAGCCGCGCCGGAGCCCCGCGCCCGGGCCCCGCGCGGGCCCGGCGCAGACAAAGGCGCGGCCCCGGCCCCGGCCCGCCGGCCCTCCGCGCGCGCCCCGCCCGCCGCCCGCGCCGGCCGAGCCGCTCCCGCCGGCCGCCCCGACGGGGTCCGGCCGGGGGGCGGGGGGCCGCGGCCGCCGAGGATGGGGAAATCCAACAGCAAGTTGAAGCCCGAAGTTGTGGAGGAGCTGACCAGGAAGACCTACTGTGAGTGCGCGCGCTCGGACCCCCGCCCCGCGCTCCGCGGCGCCGCCTCCGCCCCCTCGCGCCCCTCCCCCCGCGGCCGGCAGCCTCCCCCCTTCTCCTCTCCTCCGACCCCTGGGCCCTCCTCCGGGCGCGCCCGCCGCACCCCTCCCCCGGCCCCTTCCCGCCCGGCCCGGGAGCGGAGCCCCTCCGTAGCCCCCGGCCGCGCCCCCCCCACCCCGGCCCCACACCTGGCCCTATTGTTCTAGGGCACCCCTCCCCCCGCCTCCCTCCCTCCAACCCCCCACTTCCAACCCCCCCCCCCGGCCGGGAGGGCCGGCTCCAGCCCACCCGCGGCCCCCTCTCTGAAGAGCTGTCCGAAGCCCCCCCCCCCCCCTCCCCACCCCCCCCCCCCGGCCGGGAGGGCCGGCTCCAGCCCACCCGCGGCCCCCTCTCTGAAGAGCTGTCCGAAGGAGTCGGGGAGGGGGGGTGTGTGCCAGGGCGAGGGGCGGTGGTCGGGGAGGGGGCTCCCGATTGCGCGGTGGCTCGGGCTGCGCGGATCCGACTGGCATGGGCGCAGCGGGGTGGGTGATTCATGCATCACGATGCCACTGCCGCTGGTGCTGGTGCTGCGGCTGCGAGGTTGGCCTGTCGCCCCCTCCCTGGCCCGGATCGTGTGTGTTGGGGTGGGTGGGGGGCGAGACTTGTCAGAGAGCTCGAGGCGGCGGCGCGGGGTCTTGGTCGCCCTGTCGCTGCGGGATTTACAGGGTGAATTCTCCCCTGGCCCTGATCCCACCTCGCCCTTTTTATCCCCTGTCTGCCACTCTGGGAAATGGGTTTATACAGTCGGAGAGTGGGGGGGTGATCTGGGCGATCTCAACAGGTAACCATTCCAGGCGTCCCTGAGACCCTCCTGTCTGCCAATTTCGGACTTCTCTAGAGCTATGGGGATGTGGCTCTCCACATGGCCCAACTTCACAACTGTCCTGTGCCCCGGGATCTTCAGTTTCTCCATTACAGCTGTCTCCCTGCTCCGCAGCCCTCTTGGGGGACACCCCAGCTTGCCAGGGGTTAATGGCCCCAGGTCCTGACCCCCGACTCTTTTATTTTGGCGACAGGGTGAAGGACCAGTCCGTGGCCTGCAAGGGCTTCTGCCTGGGTGTCTGACTTGGAAGGGGGCCCTGGCCCTGGGTGTGGGTTGCAATTCAGAGCCAGGACCTGGGCTCCGGCCGCGAGGGTCTAGCCCCTCTGCAGTCTTTCAGGAGGCAGCAGAGTGACTGCCAGCCTCCTGCGTTGACGGAGGCCTGGGAGGCAGCTCCTGGTGGTGCATTGCACAACCTCGGCCCCCCTCCCCCCTCCATCCGTCTTCTGGGCACGTTTGCAGGTCTGGCCGAGCCCACGCTTCAGCTCCATGCCCCCTTGCCCCGTGTGCCTGTAACAAAGGGGGGCTTTCCTCGCCAGTCTGCCGAGAGCGGGTGGTCCTTCTCCAGTGGAATTCTCCAGCAAGGAGCTCGCATCCTGGTGGCTTCTCCCTGAAGCGTGGGAGCTCTGAGGACCCAGACTCCGGCCCTTACTGCTCTTGCCGTCTTTCCTGGGGTGCTGGGGGTGGGTGGGAGGCTTCCGTGTTTGGCTACTGTTTTGTGAGATTTGCTGGGCCTTCCCTCAGGCTCTGTGCGGATGTGCCCGCAGGCAGGCGGCGGCTGGGACGTCCCGGGCTCCGGTGCTCCGGGAGGCAGGGGGCACCTCGGGCGGGCTTTGCCAGGATGGTGGGCCTGGGTTGTACCCGGGCGTCCCCGTCGTGGTGAATGACCTGTGAGCTGAATGAAGCCAGGTTGCCCACTACGGAGCACATGATATGCCAGCCTCTGCATCACCAGCTTGTAGGGTCCTCAACTGGCCTCCATATGGTGGGCTTGGTTACCAGCCTCTTTTCTTTTTTTTTTTTTAATATTTATTTATTTATGAGAAGGAGACAGAGTGGGAGCAGGGAAGGAGCAGAGAGAGATAGGGAGACACAGAATCCGAAACAGGCTCCAGGCTCCGAGCTAGACGTCAGCACAGAGCCCGATGCGTGGCTCGAACCCACGAACCTGCGAGATCATGACCTGAGTCGGAGTCAGATGCCCCGCCGCCGACTGAGCCCCCTTGGGTGCCCCTGTGACCAACCTCCTTTGCTGATAAGGAAACTAAGAGGCTTGGAGAGGTGAAGTCGTGTGCGTGGGACCCATGGCCAGGCACTGGGTGGTGGCAGGACTCAGACTCCAGTCTGTGTCCAAAGTTACGCCCCTTGAAAGACCTCATGGCTCATGCTGAGATGTCCAGAGGGGACTTTTTCCGTGGGTCCCTGCCCAGGTACCACTGTCAGTGGACTGTGGATGGGAAGGAGGTGTGGGGCAGTCATTTTGTCCACCCCCCCCCCCCGGGGACGTCTGTCACCTTTGGGAGAAGTTGAGTCAACAGGGCTTTGTTAGGAAGGGGCCGGGTGCTTCTGCGCTGGCCTGGGCTATTTTTAAAGGCCTTTGGAGACGTGGAACAGTTTTGATCCGAGAGAGCGAGCCGAGAACTTTCCTCGGTAGCGCCCTGATTAGGTGTGGGCTGGGGGAGCTGGTGGTGGGTTCCCTGGCTTCCTGTCTGGCTGATGCTTGCCTGTGCTGGCGCTTAGTAGGTCTACAGATACTCGCTGATGAAAAGGTTCCTGGCAGGAAAAGCAGAAAAAGCTTCCCGTTTGTTCTAAGGCCCCAGATGGGCTTCCTTCTGATGGGGACGGGAGCCATCTGCTCTTTGTCTGGGGGTGGGGGGGTGGGGGTTCTGTGTGTGGGGTCAAGAGAGGAGTGCTTAGCAAGGGCCGTCAAATGTCAAAGTCTCCTGGAGAGCCTGTTAAATACCAAGTACCAGGTTGCCTCGCTCTCAGCCATTCTCATGCTTAAGGTCTGGGCCTGGGCCAGGGCCTTGCATCCTGAAGGGGCGTTTGTCGTGCAGATATTGGCTCCCAGGAGCCCCAGTGGAAGACGCAGACCTGTACTGGTTCTGGGGGTCCCGGCACATGTAAACATCACCTGGTGTCCTGGGCCACCTCCGGATACCACAGCTGGCCTCGGCGCCTGGAGGGAAGGACTGTCCCGGTGGGGTGTGTTTGTGTGTGTGTGTGTGCACTCGCTCGCGTGTGTGCGAGTGTGCGCAGAAGCCGGAGAAGACCTGCGAACACATCTGGATTCAGCCTAGCTGAAACCCTCCGTCTTTCAGGCTGAGCACTGCAGAAGAGGTTTTTTCCGCCTCTGCAGATAAGATTTTGTAAATCATCGTGTCCCGGAATCCAGTCTTCACTCTTCCTGGCAGAGCGCGTATCTGGAAGCAGCAGGAAGCTCAACACGGGTGATGGTGGGGGGGGCCCCTGCCCAGGACAGTAGGCAGCCGGCAGCCCAGTTTCTGGGAGGTCTGGCCCGCTTTCTCCCAGCTCGTTGGTGGGCCGTCGTCACCTCTGTGTGCCAGGGACAGGCCAGCCCCTCTCCGAACTGAACCTCAGTTTTCTTATCTGCAAAATGGGTCCACTCGTGGTCCTTGGCTCCCAAGGGGCCGTAAGGGGTCGCCAGGATCATTCCCTGAGAGCCTAAGACATGGCCTGTGGTGTACAGCGTCCTCCTTAATGTGCGATGGCAATTGTCAAGGATGTACGAGAGCAGTCACTGGGGTTTTGCTGATGTAATTCAGCTTCGTCTTGAATTGGTCTGAAATACATCTTGTGGGCAAAGTTCATCTCTCCACAGAGGAACCCTCCCTCGGCCCTGGACTCGGTGCCTGACACGCGGGAGGCCTGGAGGGGGGGTCTGCGTGCTCCCGCATCTCGGCAGGTTCCCGTTTTCCCGGTGGTGGTCTTGCCACACCCCCGCTTATTAACTCTCGGGCTGCCTGGCCCTGCCGTTCCCGGGGCGCTCCCTGCGTGCTGGGCGCGGACACTGAAACGCAGAGAGAGATGTGATTCCTGCCTTCGGATGGAAACCAGCCGGGTGGCCCCCAATGCCGGGCTTACGGGGCTCGAGTCGTGTGTTGTGGTCGGAGCCGCGTTGGGTTAAAGGCTTCCGGGCCCAAGCCGGGCAGCTCTCCACCCCCAGGAGGCAGACACCCCCACCCTGCCTCCCTTAGCCTGTTCCCGTGGTGCTCACGGCCCTCCCCGGGGACCCTCTGCCCGGGACCCGGAGGAGGTCACCTGCTCCTTGTCGCTCTTGGTCAGCCCAACCTCAGCCTTGACCTTGCTCGCCAACCTTGAGTCTCCGCAGCCTTTATTCTGATGCCCAGAATGGTGCCCGGCACGCGGCAGCTTGCGGAGGGGAGGGGCGTCCAAATGGGAGGCGGGGGAGCCAGCCGCTAAAGCCTCTGCCGCCTGGAGCAGAGAAGGGGACCCTCGTTCACAGTGAGGAGCCTGGGGTTTACGAGATGCTGGGTGTCACCATGACTCCCTGGCTTTGGGAAGCGTCCCTTCGTGGAAGATAAGGAATGTTCTCTGATGCTCACTCCCGCCACTCGGTGCTGCTCAGCTAGAGGGGGCAAGGCATTGCCGTGGGCGGGGGCGGGATCCGGTACCCAGTTCGGGACAAACAGGGGAGGTGGGGTGTGAAGGGCCCCACAGCCCAGGAGAGGGAAGGCCCAGAGTGGGGAGGCGGCTTCTGCAATCCCTGTGCGTCCTGGGTGCAAGAGAGTGAGGCCTCGCTCCCTCTCTCTACCAAAGGGAAGACACTGCGGCCGGAAGAGGAACTGAGATCAGAGCCTTTACACCAGGGCGGGCATCTGGGCAAAACAAACAAACAAACAACCAAGTTTGCTTTTAGGAAAGAACTCAGTGTCCTGGACAAGGGAGCTGGGTCCTCAGCCGGGCTCTGTGACCTTGGGCAAATCACTTACCCTCTCTGAGCACCACCTTGCCCAGCCCATAATACCTGCTCACGTGACTCCATGGGTCCGAATGGGAGGGTGTGTTGAGGTCCAGAGTGGGTGGGCCGGAAAGGGAAGGGGCGCTGTGTGACAGCAGG